TGCCGGTTGTACCGGGGACCACCGGGCTGAGTCGCGCCTGGGCTCTGCCCCGCCGCAGGTCTCATCACCAGCAGCCAGTCCGCGGCCTACGCCATCAGCAAGTTCGTCAGCGGGGTCCTCTCCGACCAGCTGAGCGCCCGCTGGCTCTTCTCGGCCGGACTGCTGATGGTGGGCTCGGTCAACGTGGTGTTCTCCTGGAGCTCCACCGTGACGGCCTTCGCGGGGCTCTGGTTCCTCAACGGCCTGGCCCAGGGGCTGGGCTGGCCGCCCTGCGGGAAGATCCTGCGCAAGGTGAGCGTTCGGTGGGAGACGAGGGGGGCTTCCCACTGCTTCTCCTCAGCAGGGCTGCGTTAGGGGGACGGCTGCTCCGAACCCGGGGCGCTTGCGCCCATTCCTGCCCCCGTGCAGGCAGGGAGGTCAGAACCATGAGCTGTGTGTGGAGTGAGCCCTCACGCACAAGGCTCTGCTTGTTCCAGCAGAGATTCAGAAAGTTCATCAGCTCTTGCATTTATGAACCTCAGTGTGATAAGTCACACCTCCTGGTAGTGGATCTTCTCCGCTATCAGAAGTTAATTTGTTGGGATCCAGTCGTGAAGACAGAGCTCTGCCTGTCTCTCTGCCGTCGCAGCCGTTTGCTGCTGGGCAAGGGGCGAAGAGCAGGAGTCCATCTGCATGCTCGGGGAACTCAGGAATTGCAAACTGTGGGGCGTTCAGGTAGAAAACCACGAAATGTACGGGGAGCAGCACGAGTCGAGCCTCTGAGCTGCGTGCGGTTGGGTTTTGTGGCGATCTCAGCGGATTTCTGCCCTAGGGCAGCAGGGAAGGAGGCCAGCTGTGTGCTGACCTCTCTGGAAAGACGTGAAATCCAGGAGTGCCCGCACTTGTGGGGCAGGGGGAGAGGAGCAGCTGCGCTGCCCTCCTGTGAGGCACCGAGCCTCGTGCAGCTGGCGGGAGAGGGGCTGTTTTGGGTGCTGCGTGCACAGAAGGGAAGGTCCCAAATAACGGGAACAATGCATGCAGTGTTTCCTGATACTTCGGTGCTTTCTGAAGGCGTTTGTGAATGCAGCTCTGACATTTTCCTGCCCACAACAACCACCCGAGTGGTTCTGGCTCTGAGAGCCAACTGTGCCTGATATTTAATGCAATGGCGAGTCCTAAAGTTACCCTGTGACCCCGTATCCGTTCCTGCTCCTGTGCCAGCAGACCTTTCCAGGAGGACGCTGTTCCTGGCCAGCGAGTCCAGAGAACCCATGTCCTCTTAAATTTGCCTCTCCTGGCCCACGTCTCGGTTTCCCAGTCTGTAAATGGAAACAGCATGGAGCTGGCTCGTGGCGCAAGCACCTGTTGGGTGCTGTGGCTGGTGCTTGGGTAACGTTTGGAGTTCCAAATGAAGTGAAGTGTAGGTGATCCCTGTACCTGCTTTTGTACATCTGGGTCTGAACTGCCACAAACACACAAGGTGGGCCTTGGTGGCGGGTTTTTGGGCACATTGTTGCTCTCTTTCTCAGACCTCATGCTGGTTTTCTTGTTGTTGCACAGTGGTTTGAGCCTTCCCAGTTCGGGACGTGGTGGGCAGTCCTGTCTACAAGCATGAACTTGGCCGGGGGCCTGGGCCCCATCATTGCTGCTCTGGTGTCTCTGCACTACGACTGGCGCACAACTTTGTCCTTCTCCGGCTTCGTCTGCGTGGTCGTCTCCTTCGTTTGCCTTGTCCTGATTAAAAACGAGCCCTCGGACGTTGGGCTGCCCAACATCGAACAAGCGGCCAAGAAAGGCAAGAAAGGTGAGCACGAGGGTTCCCTGATCGCCGGGTTCTGCCGCTGCTTGGCCTGACAGTGGCCGTGTCCATCGCTGAGCTGCTCGTGGCTGTTTCACCTCCCTGCCTGTTTAGCACCTTCCTGCCAGCAGTGCCCGGTGTTCTCAGTGCCTCCCGTGCTCAGATCGGGGCTGGCGGGCACTGGAGAGGGGGGAAACGCAGCAGGAGGGAAGGCGTCCTGCAGCCTGGCCTCCCTTGAGGACGGGCGGTCGTCCCCTCGCCCCGCCGTGGTTCTCTTGACCCCTGGCTGGGCTGGACTCTGCTCGGTGTTTTCTGTCCTCCCCAGGATGTGTGGTTGGTAAATGTTTGCTCGACCCCTCGGTGCGGTGCCTCTGGAGGCAGAGCAGGGAGAGGGGGGTTGCAACACAGGTTTGCTGTGGGATTTTAAAGGCCAGTGGGAACTCAGCCTGTTTTCCACTCTGCTGCTAGACGTGGCCTCTTTGTGTCAGTGAGCGCCATCGCTTCCCCCGAGCGTTCATCTGTAGGCGCTCGATGCAGAAATCAAGGTAGCAGCTGAAAGCCAGCAGCTTTGTTTGGGTACCTGTATGGCTTACACAGGCACAGCTTTGAAACGGTAGCACAAAATCTGGGGGAGCAGGTGATTTTCCAACAACCTTTGTGAAGGGTTTATTGGGAACCGCAACACAGAAAATGACTGAGAGTAGCGTGTGGATTATTCCTTTGAGATCTTAAATGAACGTGGAGTCGATTGACAGAAAAGATTCTGAAATCGCAGCAAACCCAGAACATGGGGGAGGAGGAGCCGTTCATCTCCGGTAGCGATGAATGAACACCTCCCTGCCAGGATGTCCTTGTGCGTGGATGCTGCTCACGGAGTTGTAGCGGCTGAGGAGCTGTGCTGCAGCGGTAGTAACGCTGCTCCTGCTGCTCCTCAGGCTCCGCCAGCGACAACAGCACTTTGACAGAGCTGCTGCTTTCCCCCTACCTCTGGGTGCTCTCAACGGGCTACCTGGTGGTGTTTGGAGTGAAAACCTGCTGCACCGACTGGGGACAGCTCTTCCTGATCCAGGAGAGGGGACAGTCCGTGCTCGTGGGTAAGACACTGGGGGGTTTTGTGGCTGTGGCCTGGGAGGTTTTGTCCAGCGCTGGAATGGGAATGGGCAAAGGACGCGGGGGCTGAGGGGCTGGCACTGCAGCTCTGCTGCTGTCACCAAACCTGATGGCCTTTTCCTTGCCTCACCTGCGTTCCAGGTAGCTCCTACATGAGCGCGCTGGAGATCGGGGGTCTGGTGGGAAGCATCGCTGCTGGATACCTTTCTGACAGAGCGGTAGCAAGGGTAAGCAATGGGGACCCTGGGGTGTGCTGGGCCGTTCACACAGGGACAACCCGAGCAGCGGCAGGAGTTTTACAGCTTGCTTTGGCTTCCTTTAAAGATTATTTCTGTCCCCAGCACCTGCACCCATCGTGGAGCAGGACGCTGCTCTGGTTGTGTCGCTCTGGAGAGCCATGAGTTTGGGTGGTATCCCTGCGTGGCTCAACCGAGAGGGGCAGACCCGTGCTCCGCTCTGCAGGCCCGAGGGGGTCTGGGGGAACACATATACCGATGCTAGGGGGTCGATGCGCGTGTCGGGCTTAAGAGGTTTGGTCTGTTTACTTTGTGGGTTTAATGTGAAGCCCTCCAGCTCCTCACCCTCCGTTTCCCTCGGCTGTTGCAGTCGGGTCTGTCGAGCTACGGGAACCCTCGGCACGCGCTGCTGCTGTCCATGATGGCCGGGATGTGCGTGTCCATGTTCCTCTTCCGTGTGACGGTGACTGCTGAGTCTCCCAAGGTAACACAGGTTGCAGGGGCGGCCCTTTACTGGTGAGGGGTTTGACGGTGGGAGTGGGAGTCTCCTCCTCATCCTGCCCAAGAACCACAAGTTTGCGTTGCCTTGGCACCGGAGCCGCAGGGTAACTTGGTCCAGGTTGGCTTGGGCAGCTGCGTCACCGGCTGTAGCATAGACGTGACTTGCATCTGCCCTCGTGATTGCTGAGTAAATGAAACTGCTTTTCTCCTTTTCCTTTTTTCCTCCTTCAGGAAAGCCACTTCTGGACTGTAGCCTTGCAACCTCTCGCTGATCTTACAGGCCTCACAGAGCACGAGGTTTCTGCCTTGCCTTTTTCTCTCTGCCTGTTTCTGCTTTCGCTGCTCTGGCTTTTGCTGTGCTGGGAGGTTGGTTAGCTCTGCAGGACTTAGAACAGGGCACTGAGAAGATTACTGTAAGTTCTATGAGAGAAACCTTTCCTTACAACCCTTTTTGATTATACCAATGACCTTAACACGTCTGGACATGAAGCTTGCAAGTTTTTGTGTAGAAGGTTCTGAGGACGTTTGTTCACCAGGTCCAATGTAGGTGGTTTAAGGGTTTTGTGGGTGAGGTCAAGGGCAATGGCTGCTCCTGCAGGTGCCTTCCTGCTTGATTCATGGCAAGTGTTTTCCTAACTCTGTTTCTGTGTCTTACCTGGAAAATGAGCTGGCACTCTTCCCTTGGGCATCGCGCAGTGCTGTGTGCAGTACAAGAAGGACGCTGTGATCCTGAGGTGCTCAGGTTGCTTTTCCTTCGTCGCCACTGATAAATTCTGAGCCAGGCTGTTCTCTTAGTGCATAAGCTAACACCGAAGCTCAGACTGTTGGGGTTTTGGGTTTGTTTCTGTGTTATAGTAACACGGAGGTTATCAGATAGCGGCTTGTGGCAAAGAACGGTGCTGTGATCAGTTGCTTGCCTCTAAATGAGAAAAGCTTTCCAGTGGTGTCTCCAGGATCACTTTTAGAAGCCGATTCACAGCGCTCTCCTGTGATTTCCTGGGATCGTTTTCCACCTCCCCTCAGCGTCCTGGGTCATTGTTGCAGAACGGCGCAGGTGGTGCTGCACAGTTTAGGGTCAGAGCAGAGCCGGCGTTGCAGCGCATGCAGGGGCAGCTGGGCTGTGTGTACGGCCATGACTGCAGCTCTGCAGGCCAGGGCGCGGCGTCAGCCCCAAAATGTCAAGACCCCCTCGCTGAGCGCTGTCGGCAGCTGCTGCCTGGCGGTGGCGGGATGCGCAGATCCCCTTTCTGATGGTAACTTGTTTCAACAGCTGTGGATCCTGACCCTGGGAGCCGTGTTCGGGTTCTCCTCCTACGGGCCCATCGCCCTCTTTGGGGTCATAGCCAACGAAAGCGCCCCCGCCAACCTCTGTGGCACCTCCCACGCCATAGTGGCGCTCATGGCCAACGGTGAGTGACGCCCCTTTCTCCAAAACCAAACAGAACCCGTGCGTGTTCCTGGTGCAGCGTGGTCTGAGGGTGCAGTTACTGATCATGGGAGGTCACCTCAGCTGTACCCAATGGGTTTTTGCCGTGTGCTTTAAGTTCAGACCCGCCTGAGGAATTTTTATACGTGCAAAACCAAGCATTGGCAGATAAAACTGAGACACTCGAGCGTCTCTAATGTTCTGTTTTCCCTTACAGTTGGGGGTTTTCTGGCCGGACTTCCCTTCAGTACTATTGCCAAGCACTACAGCTGGGCCACAGCCTTCTGGGTGGCCGAAATGACCTGCACGGGCAGCACGGTGGCTTTCTTCCTGCTGCGCAACATCCGCACCAAGATGGGCCGGGTCCCCAGGAAGGCGGATTGAGGAGAAGTGGCTCGGTGACAAGGACCCTCCCGTGCCCACGTGAACGATGCTCGTGTTTTGCTGAACTGGCCTAGGAGTGAGTTTACCTCTTGCTGCAACCCAGGTGAAAGTGTCTCGATTCCTCACCCACTGCCACGTGCCTGAGCGCACAAGGTTCCTGCTACCGATCACTTGTTTCCCTCGAGATGTGATAATCCAGCTAGTTTACATTTGCAATGATTTCACCGTACCTCTTTCTCACAGCACTGTTGGTGAAGTGTAGCGGGCTTCGCAGCCCGAGCTTCTCCGCTGGAAATACTCTGAAATGTGGGGTTTTGGGTGCTGCCACGTTTAGTTCTGTCCTTTCTGTCCGTCCCAGCCATTTGCTGTCAGTGTTAATTGATGTGCGTTGTTCAGGGTGCTGTGGCGAGCCTTTGCCGATGCGTCGATACCGTCCTAGCACAGCTGTCTTTGTTTATTCAGTCCCCGGACGGTGACAGCGCGGTGAGTAACGATGATTGCGGTGCGGCCTCACGGCTGCTTTGAGAGCGGCGTCGCGTTGGCTTTGTGGGATCGGGCGCCAGGAGCGAGGGCGGTGTTTGCTGAGGCCCAGCAGAAGGGCGATGCGCTGGGGTGGCAGCGCTCCCGCAGCACGCAGCAACAGCCGTTTCCAGGCAATTCCTGGCGCTGCGGGGAGCGCGTTGAGGAGCTGCTCCTGCCCGGCGCGGCCGCTGGGCGCTGCGTTAATGATTTGCCAGGCCGGCAGCTGCTTGCCAAGCCCGGCTGCAGCGACGCTCTGCACATCAGCCCGGAACATCAACCCCGCAGCAGGGATTGCGACAGCTGCCGCCAGCCCGCGTCTCCTGCCGCTGCCTTTCCTCAAATCCAGCATTTCTAGCACCAGCTGCTGTTTTCCAGTACAGGATGTGTAGTCCAGGATGTTTCTGGCCGAGAGCAGCATCTCTCGCAGCTGCAGGGCTTGGGCAGAGCCAGCACTGCCAGCCAGCAGCAGTGAGGCCCAGCACCCTTTGCAATAAACAGACTCAGGTTTTTAACCGGGATTTTGGTGAATATTCCTGTTTTTCCCTGGAAGGATTTACTGCTTTAGAGCCCTGGAAGAGGCAGGTTCGACTCGCCAAGAACCTGCCTGCAGGTACTGTAGTGAACAGCTCGGTTGCAAGAGTAGGTAGGCAGCCTTAATTAAAACGATGGAAGCAAATAATATTTTGTACTTAATTACATGATGATCTACTGTCTGTGAAATAAAAATGGAGCAGTGTCACAAGGGCTCTGGTTGTCTTACGGGGAACGGCGCGAGCAGAACGGCCCAAAACCCCTTACCCTGGTGGGGTGCACACAGAAAACGAGCAGCCATCTGCTGCTTTGGGGAGTGTTTATTACTCCTGCACAGAAACCCCCTGCAAAACCCTACGTCAGAGCTGTACAGGAAAAAGACATATGTACAATTATGAAACGAAAGACGATCGACCACGGTAAGGCCCCAGACCCACACTTTGTCTTTGCTGAAGGGCAGTGGAGCCATGACAACAGAATAAACCCCTGTGGCCCAGTGTAAACTGTGTAAGGAGTCTGTAAATCTCACACAAAGGGGATAAAGCAGCGTCTTGGGAGGTAATGAAGCGTGTTTGGGGATCCGCAGTCTCTGCTGTGGAGGAGGGTGCTCCAGGGAAGCCAGCTGGGGAAGAGAGGCCCTGCTCCTCAGCCAAAGGACTCTGTGCCACAGGTAGGGCTTCGTCTACGATCCAGGTCCAAAGGGTCCAGCTTTCTCTGCCACCTCCAGGGCAAGCTTCAGGTTCTGGTCAAACAGCTCACATCTGAAACAAGAGAGCAGATGGGGATGACTCTACCCACAGAACAGGCTGACGAAGATGGGAGCCCCGTATCCTTCAGGAAGAGATCCCCTAGGTCACAAGGCAACACGCTCACAGCTGTCAAGCTCTGGCTTGGCACAAGTAAAGCTTCTTGTACAGGCTCAAGCGCTACGTTAGGACCAAGAATGAGCACTTCCCACCTTCCCAGCACTGGAACAAGCACAGGTCAGTGTCCGGTCCCTTCACTGCAGCAGTCTGGGTCTGCTCTGGTACTTCAGGGCTGTTGGTGCTTGTCACTGCACAGGTAGAAAATGACCAGGGGCTGCGGCCACGTTATTAGAAGCTTCCTCCTTACCTGATGGGCATCTCCAGGGAGTAGAAAGGATTCTTCAGCGCATAGTCTGAGTAAATCTCGTAGATCTTGCGGAGAAGGGAGTCTATCCCCGCCTGCCTCGGGTCAGCAAGAACCACGAATTTGATCCCTGGAGGCATAAGGACAGAGGCATGAGGGAGGCCGAGCCCTGCAGCAGCCCCAGCCGAGCAGAAAAGCACCAGGCACCCGGTACCTGTCAGCGTCTGGAAGCAGTGCAGCTTGAAGGTGTCGGTCTCCAGCATCTCGATCCCGGAGCTCCCCACCTCGGGGGACAGCTGTGACCCGATGGCGAACAGCCTGCGGGGAGACGGCCCTCAGCACCCCGCCACCCCC